CCGGCCCGTGTGCGTCAGGAGTCTCGTCCCATCTCTCTGCTTCCACTGTCCCGGCACCCCTGGGGGTTTGCAATGAGCGCACACCCGTTCCTGGAATGCCCAGGGTCCATGGCAGCAGTCCCTGTGTGGCCCTTTCCACTTCCGGGCTCCCCCCCCCACAGCCCGTGTCCACTCCAGCTGGGCTCATGACAACCCCCCCCTTCATTAATTTGGGTGACTTTCACCACGTTTAGCCACAAGGCCCAGGTTCTGCCCTCTTCCCCTCTCCCACCTTCTGCTGCTGCTGCTGCTCTGCATGGGGTCCTGGGGGGGGGCAGCCCCAGCTGGGGAGGCTGCAGACCGCCCCCCCACCCTCTTCTGCCCACCCTGTTCTGTCCCGAGCACCTTGGGGTGTAGCCCACTTCCATCAATTTCCTGAGCTCTGGAGCTGTGTGTTTTGACCCTCTTGCCCACTTTTAGCATTGTTTTTCTCTTCAAAGATGTTACTTACTTTTAGAGCGGGGAAAGGAGGGAGAAAGAGGGAAAGAAACATCAGTGTGTGGTTGCCTCTCACACGCCCCCTCCTGGGGACCTGGCCCACAACCCAGACACATGCCCTGACTGGGAATCGAACCAGCGACCCTTTGGTTCAAGCCGGTGCTCAGTGCACTGAGCCGCACCGGCCAGGGCCCGCCTTGTTTTTCTGTGGCGAGGAATCCGCGCCTCAGGGCTCGGCCGTGGGAGAGCTCGGGTCTCCCCCCTGGTCCCGGTCCGTGCCCTCCCTCGCCGAGGTGTGTTTCTGCGGATGTCGTGAGGCAGGCGCCTGAGCTGGGTTTTAAGATGCGAAAAGCCAGTTTCAGGTTTCTTCGCTAGGAAACGCACGCCACCCTTTCCTGCCCGTGGGAAGTGTGTCGTGTCACGGCCGGGGCTCTTCTCCCTCCGCCGGCCCCGTTCTCCCCGTTCTCAGTCCGTCGTGTGGGTTTGCCGCCGGCTGCTGCCCACGGTCGGGGACGCGGGTTCCCTTCGGGTCTCCAGCGTTCGGTCAGCAGTGCGGAGGCCAGATCTTGGTGCACGTTCGTTGTGACTGTTCCGACTTTTCTGAGGCGCCTGCCCGGTGGGAGGAGCGAGCCGAGGCGGAAGGTGTCTGGCACGGCTGAGGGTCCTGCAGGAGGGCTTGGCTGCTGGTGTCCGTGGGGCGGGGGTCTCAGAGGGGGGTTTGGTCGCGTCCACCCAGGCTTGTCCCTTCGGAACAAGCGGTTCTGCTCCCCTGTCGAGTGGGCCTTTCGACCCCAATCCTTGCTGCCATCCTCGGGTGCAGGCTCGCAGCCGCTGGGGCTCTGGGCCATCCCCTGGGCCCCGAGGGCAGCAGGCGGGAGAGGGAGCTGCCCGGACGCCACCTTGGTCCACCTGTGGGGCCAGCAGGACGATCCCCGTCCCTCTCCCTCTCGGCCGCCACCGTTTCCTGCTCAGAAGACAGCCGTGCCTGGCACCAGGGATGGTACCCGGAGCCGTGGGTCGTGGCGGGCGCCCCTCCCAGTGGCTCTGGTGGGTGGAAGCGGCTTCCCCTCCGAGTGCCGGCACCGTCGGGGTGGGTGTGTGCTCGGCTCCGGCGTGTCTTTATTTGGTGAAGGGAAGGCTGCCACCCCACGTTTCCCCCTCCCTCTCTGCTCTGGTTTCAGTTTCGCGGGCTCACCGGTCTCTGAAGTCAGGGCACCGCTGCTGGAACTGGGTGGTGCTGGGCGGTGCTGGGCGCTGCAGGCAGGAGGACTGGGCAGCCCGAGCGCCGACACACCCCCCGCTGGCTGGCCGTCACCGTCCGGGCCCTCGAGTGCGGTGGAGGCGACGGGGCTCTCCCTCTGGGCAGCCTGACAGCCAGCCCGTCACGCCGGCCCGGAGAGCTGGGTGCCGCGTGAGGCGGCTCGCCCGCGGAGTGGCCACGGCCCTCCCGAGGGCAGGCGGGAGCGTGTGCGCACATGTGTGCGCTGTGTGGACGCGGGGGGGAGCGTGTGTGCACGTGTGTGTGCTGTGTGGACGCGGGGGGAGTGTGGCCGTGACTGAGCCCCACCCCGGCCTCCGCAGGTTCTCCCACGGGCAGGTGGTCTCTGTGGACGAGCTGCGCCCCTTCCAGGACCCGGACCTGAGCTCCCTGCGGGTCGGCTCGGCCTGCCTGGCCAAACAGCAGGACGGCCTCTGGTACCCGGCGCGCATCACCGGTGAGGCTGCCCGTGGGCCCCCCAGGCCCTCCCGGAAGCCCCTGCAGCTCCCGCTGCCCCGTGACCACCGCTTTGTGGGGGTGTCCGGTCCCCACCCCCCGCCCAGGGGGAGCGAGACGGCCCCCGGCCTCAGCCCGCCCTGCTCCCAACCTCCCGTGTGCGTCCCACCCGCTGCGAGGCCGCTGACCGGCCTGTCTCCGGCCCTGCTGCAGATGTGGACAGCGGCTACTACACGGTCAAGTTTGACTCTCTTCTGCTGAAGGAGGCGGTGCTGGAGGGAGACAGCATCCTGCCCCCGCTGCGCCCGGAGCCCACGGAGGCCTCTGACTCCGACAGCAGTGACGCGGACGACTCCAGCTACGCCCGAGGCAGGCGACGCCAGGGTGGCCCGGGCGCTCCTGGCTACCGGGGACCCTGCCCGCCTCTCGGGAGTCGGGGGTGGGGGGGACTGAGCCCAGTGTGCACACACAGCAGGGGGCGCTGGTCACGCCTGGAGACCCCGCAGGAGGTTGGGGGACGAGAGTCTGCGCAGGTCACAGACCTCTGCTGCTCGCCGCAGACCTGAGGCAGGACCCGGGCGGCAGGGGCCGCTGCTGATGCCAGAGCTGCCGGGGAAGTGGGTGCGCAGGGAGGCTGGGCGGGGCTTCCGCTCAGGGCCTGGTGCCTTGTGGGTGGGGGGCGTCGGGGGGGGGGCTCTGCAGACAGCCCCGGGCAGGGAAGCTTTAGGAAGGGGGCAGGCTGGCAGTGTCCAGCCCTCCTGTGGGGTCAGTGAGAATGAGTATGGGTGGCGTCCCCATGGGGCTGGTCCGTGAGGTGGTGCTTTCCAAAGCCCCACGTCCTTGGGGAGGAACGAGCCGTGAGCGGCTGCTGGCCAGAGCCCTGGGCACCCCCGGAGCAGCCGGCTGAGCCACCGCCTTGTCTCCCGCAGTGGTGGAGCCCAGCGCTGCCGCCGGCGGGACCTGCAGCTCCGACTTCGCAGGCTGGGAGGTGCACACTCGGGGCATGGGCTCCAGGCTCCTCGCCAAGATGGGCTACGAGTTCGGCAAGGGTGAGCGGGAGGGGGCAGGGCTGCCCCAGCACAGTGGCGCGGCCGGGGGGGGGGGTGTCCAGAAGCAGCACTAGCTCCCTGTGCCTCCAGGTCTGGGCCGACACTCGGACGGCCGGGTGGAGCCCGTCCACGCCGTGGTGCTGCCCCGAGGGAAGTCGCTGGACCAGTGCGCTGAGATCCTGCAGCGGAGGAGGACCCGGGGCGGCCAGGCCGGCCCCAGCAGGCCCCCGAGGTGCCGCGGCAGAGGGGGCGGATCGGGGGGCCGCCCACCCCGTCGTAACGTGTTTGACTTTCTCAACGAGAAGCTGAAGGGACAGGCTTCTGGGGCCCTGGACGCGGGGGCAGCCCCCGCAGGGAGGAGGAGCAGCAAGGAGCTGTACCACGCCAGCAAGAGCGCCAAGCGGGCCCTGAGCCTGCGGCTCTTCCAGACCGAGGAGAAGATTGAGCAGGCCCAGCGGGACATCCGGGGCATCCAGGAGGCCCTCGCCCGCAACGCCGGCCGGTGCGTGGGGGCTGACCTTGGGGCCGAGGGTGTTCGCGTGCGGGAGGTGCTCTGACTTGGTGGGGAGCGGAGTCTGAGGCGGCTCTGGACGGTCAGAGGGTGCTGGCACTGACCACGGCGGCCTGAGGGCTGCGTGGCAGTGGCCCGGGAGCCCACGCTGAGCGGCAGCCTCCCCCCAGGCACAGCGTGACGGTGGCCCAGCTGCAGGAGAAGCTGGCGGGAGCCCAGCGGCAGCTGGGGCAGCTGCGGGCCCAGGAGGCGGGCCTGCAGCGGGAGCAGAGGAAGGCGGACACCCACAAGAAGATGACCGAATTCTAGAGGCCCCGCGCGCCACGGACGGGGTCCCATGAACAGACGCCACCAGAGGAGGGGCCGCCGGTGCCAGGCGAGACGAGCAGCCGGCCTGGGTGTGGGACTGCGGAGTGGAGACGGGGCGCGGGGGCACACCTGGACGCACAGGTGCCCGCAGAGCCCGCCCGTGGGCGCCCGCTTATCGAGAACATTAAAGTGGCTTGTCACAGCGCCTCCTGGTGGTGGCTCGGCCGGCTGCGCCGTCTGGGGCGGGGTCTCCGCGTGCAGCTGTGTGGTTGGGCAGCGGGCCCCGGGGCGCTGTCATCCTCCCCGGTCTCCCAGCCGGGTCCCGTGCTGCCCGGCACCTGTGAACAGTGGGGCACGGCAGTGGGGCCCTCGCAGGGTGCCGTGAACGGGCAGGAGGGCCGGCTCACCCCGCACCATCCGTGGCCAGGGCCCGCGCCGCACCCACCCCCTGGCGTGGAGGCCGTGAGAGGCTGCTCCGAGCTCACAGCACGCCCCCACTGAGTGTCGTCTAGACCCCGGGCGGGGCCACAGTGGGATGGGGTGAGGCTGCCGCAGCGGGTGGCGGCTGGCGCCAGCTGCTGCAGAAGATTGAGGTGCAGCCTGACAAGGCAGGAAGTGAGGGGAGCTCCACCTGGGGCCGCACAAAGGCCCCCAGCCTCCAGGTGCCCTGCGCCCCTGGCATCGGTGAGTGCCTGCTCTGGCCTCCAGCCTGGCCCCTTGGTGCCTTCCCAGGGCAGTTGAGGTCTGGGGCCTGGGAGGACGAGGCCCGACCAGGCCAGGGCACTGGGTTCTCGTGGGAAGCCCGCTCCATGGGTCCGAGCACCCCCGTCTCGGGCTGCTGGGCTGGATGGCTGCACGGGTTAGGGTGGGCCCCTGTGCCCTGCAGCAAGACCCCACAACGGGGCCGGGCTGACAGTGGGGGAGGGGGAGGAGAGCCACAACGGGGCCTGGGAGAGGTGGGGCCTTCCGTGCCCACAGCAGCCCCTCTCTGCCTGCTGACCCTGCCTCCTCAGCCCCTTGGGGGCCCAAGACTAGTGACCGAGGGGGCGCCACCTGAGACAGAAGCCTTACCTGGGCACCATCTTACCTGGACGTGGTCGAACATGAGTCTGTGGCCCACGGCTGGCAGGCTCAGGGCTGTGACCTCTGGGGCCTCCCAGGTCTCAGGTGTGGGCTGTAGTGGCTGGCCACAGGGAGGCCTCAGCCACCTCCTCGCGGGCCCGGCTCGGCAGTCCCGTGGGTCGTCTTCGCTGACCTGGCTGCTCCCGAGGGCCCGGGAGAGCACACGTCCTCACACCTGCCCAGGAGGCCCCAGCCAGAGGCAGGAAAGAAAGGTGGGCGCCGAGACCGCGTCCTCTCGGCCTCTGTAGGAGGGAGGGGCTGCCGGGTCTCCGGGTTTCCTGTGTGCTGAGTCAGAGCGCCCGGCAGTGGGAGGCGCCCGGCAGTGTGAGGCCCCGAGTGGGGCTGCAGGTGGGTGCCCGGACGTCAGCACCCACCTTCTGCCCCCAGGCCAGGCCCGGGCCACACAGGATGGGGCCGCTGGTGTCCTCAGTCCCTCCCGCCCTCTGGGTCCCAGGCTGCCTCGCCCTGCTCCTCTGGCTGTGGGTGCTGTGTGCTGCCTGCCACAGGTATGTCCGCCCCTTGCCCTGGTTCCACGTGGAGCCCAGCCCAGTGCTGTGGCCACAGGGGGTGGGGCTCCAGGCCGGTCCCCCTTGACCAGAAGCCAGCGCCCCCGCCTCCCACCTCCCTGGCCTGACGGCCACCCTCTTGCCCCCAGGAAGCGGGTGCAGAGGCAGCCGGCCGGCCTGCAGGGCAGTGTTATGCCCACAGCCACGGTGAGTTCCAGGCTGTCCCCAGGCTGGGACGGGGCCGGCAGGAGACTGACTTGCCTCCCTTGCCGCCAGTCGACGCTGACACAGCCCCGCCTCGGCACCCTCGGCACCCTCAGCAAGTCCGACACCAGGCTGCATGAAGTGCACCGGGGCCCACGCCAAGCAGGTGAGCCGGGCAGGGGGCACGGGCCTCGGGCGGGGCTCGCTGCGCCTGGCCAGCCAACCCGCTGTGGTCGGACTCGCTCCGCCCCAAATGACCTCCGCTCTGACCCCGCCCCCAGCCCTCCGGCCAGCCAGCATGGATCTCTTGGGCCCACAATGTCTGGAAGTGTCCAGAGGCACCATCAGGCCACCGGCTGCCTTCTCACACCGGGAACTGCCCCAGACCTCGCCTGCTACCACCGATGCCCAGCCCTCCGTGGGTCCCGAGGCCACCTATTCCAACGTGGGGCTGGCGGCCATCCCCAGGGCCAGCCTGGCGGCCAGCCCCGTGGTGTGGGCAGGGGCACGGCTGACCAGCAGCTGGGCCAGACCTGGGCCCGAGGCCAGGCCAGAGCTGGCTGAGTATGCTCGCATCCACAAGCTCAAGGGAGCAGACCAGGGGCCCCAAGGCCTGGAGCAGGGGAGGGCCCAGGGCATCCCAGCCACCCAGGTAAAGTGGGCGGCGTGGGGTGGGTGGGTGGGTGGGGCTGGGCAGATTCTTGGCAGAGAGGATGGCGCTGACCCCTCCCTGGGTTTCCTTCCTCCCTCCAGGTGGACATCCTGTACTCCAGGGTCAACAAGCCTAAAAGGAGGGACCCAGGACCTGCTGCAGACCCGCTGGACCCCAAGGGCAGGGCAGAGATTCTGGCTCCTGGGAGGAGCCTGTCCTACGAGGCCCTCCCACTCAGAGGCCTGAGCGCCGACCACGCCGACAACGGGGTGCTAGAAAACGTGTACGAGAGCATCCAGGAGGTGGGGCTCTCCCGCAGGCTGGCAGCCCCCAGCTCCAGCCCCTAGATGGGACCGGAAGGGCTCCTGCTCCCGGGCCTCAGCCGCACAGGGGTCTGTGACCCCGCCCCCGGCACCCAAGCACAGATGTTCCCTCCCCCTGCGTGGGGCCTGGCCCCTGTTCCCTCCCAGTCCCCCCCCCCCACACAGCTGGCAGCCTGAGAGAACCGTGGGGTCCGGGGCGCCCTGGCCTCTCCCACCAGCGTCTTAATAAACCCCCAGCGCGGAGAGGATGAACCCAGTGCCGCGCAGCCGTCTCTTCCGAAAGCCTGGAGGTTTGGGGGGACCGTCTGCAGGAAATGAAAACATCCCCTGAGCTCAGGGGCTGGCTCCCGCCTTCTGGGGCGCCTGGGCCCTCGGCTGGTCACTAGGCTCCCAAGACAGTGCGGGGACAGAGGTCAGGTTAGGGGTGGTGTCCCTAGGCCGGGTCTAGACGGGGTGCAGCCTGCCGGCAGAGTGGCCGCCCCAGGGTCGTACTTACACCGCGAACACCGAGGGAGGGCTCGGGCTGCCCAGCCCAGCAGTTACTTACATAAGGGGTGGGGGTGGGGGGGGAGTCGGGTGTTAAAGAATAACCTGCACCTGGGAAGCCCTCCAGGGGACGCGGCCCCTTCCCTGGCCAGCAGCCCTGTGTGTGGGAACCCCACGAGGAAACCGGCCCTTCGAGGCATCGAGGGCGTGCAGGCCGGGGCTCCGCGGAGGCCAAGGCACGGGCGGGCGGGGGCCGCGAGAGGGGCCCCCTCTCCCGGCCTGCGCGGGAGCGACGGGCCTGGGGCGGGGCCTCGATGGGCGTGGCCACGAAGCGCAGGCCAATGGGAGCGCGGCCAGCCCCAGCCACGCTCCACCTCGGAATGTTGATACGGGGCGCAGGCCAATGGGCGCGCTCCGGAGGCGGGGACACAAGGAGGGGGCGGGCCGGCCGAAGCTTCGGGGGCAGAGCGGCGCGGGCGGCTGCCGATCCAGGGCGGGGGTCGGCGGCCCGGCCAGCCCGGCCCGGCCCGGGGCCGCTTCCTGAGCGTCCGCCCTCGTCGCTGCAGCCTTGGCACCCGGCCGGCGAACCATGGAGGCCGAGCGCCCCCCGGCGCCCGGCCCGGCCTGCGGGCACCCCTCGCCCCGCGCTGCCGGCCCGGAACCCGCGGCCGCGCCCGTGTCGGTGCCCGCGCCGCCGCAGGTACCGGGCGCCGGGGGCTTGAGCCAGAGTGCGCTCGCCGCAAAGATGGCGTCGGGGCTGCACAAACTTCGGGCCCCCGGGGCGGGGCGGCGTTCCGTCTGTGTCCGCGGGTCCTCGGGGCCCTGCCGCTTCCCGCCGCGCCGGGCCGGGGGCGGGGCCGAGGGCGGGGCGCGCCGACCACAGCTGGTTTGGGGGTGCAGAGCGGATCCGGGTGGGGGCTGGGGGCCCGGGGCCCCGGGCCGCTGCCTCCGCTGAGCACGCCCCGTCCGCAGGGCCCTGCCGTGGGCGGCGGCTTGGCGGGCTTGCAGTTCTCACCCCCGCAGGAGCCGGAGCCGCGGGCCCCGGGGACGTGGGCGGGGGCGGCAGCGGGGCCCCTGACGCCGTCCGCACACATCCCCGTGCCAGCGCACAGGTGAGCCGCGCGCCAGGCCGAAGTGGGCGTGCGCACACGTGCGCCCTGGTGTGCAGGGGTGGTGGGTGGGGCGCGGGAACGTGCCTTTCCCGACACCCCCCAGGGTGCTCGCCTGGGGCAGGTTAGGGGCCCGAGCTGAGTTTCTGGCCACCCCCACTCTCCAGCCCTGAAAGAGTTAAGCGGTGTGATAGTAACCCTTGTCCCCTCAACCCCTGGGGCCTGAGATCGTCTGGGAGGGAGCCGCTGTCCTCTCTGCCGCAGAGACGGGGGCCGGCGTGAGGTCCACTGCCCAGGGGGTCCCAGGCCTTGCATAAATGCCTCAAGGGTGTTGAACACCCCGGTCTGGCTGGGCAGCCAGGGGCAGGCACTGGTCTGGCCCGCTGGGACCTGGGGACCGGCTTGTGCTTGGAGCTGTTGCCCTGGCTGCTGCTGACTGCTGGCTGCTCTTCTCCACCCCCCACCCCACCCCCAGGCCTGGCCCTGGGCCCACAGCTGCTGTTGCACAACCTGGGTTAATGTGTGACTGGGGAAAGGCTGGGCCTCCATTGCCCTGGCCCAGCCGGTGGGGCCTCAGACCCCTGGTCCAGCACCAGGGTCTGCAGGAGACTCCACCGGACACAGCCCAGGCTGGAGGTGACTTGGCTTCAGGGAGACCCCAGCCCAGGCCCAGTTCCTGGTGGTTCCTGGAGATCTAGGCTCTGTAACCCGAGCCCGGGGTGGAGCTGGGCCGGCAGCCCAGGCCAGCGCCTGCAGTGAGGGAACCTGGTGTACACAAGCGCGTGCCGGGGCCTGCACGTGTGCCCGGCCAGGGGAGGGGTCTGGGAGCACTTGCTGGGCCCCACCTGCCCAGCCCACCCCCTGCCCCTGCCCTCTCCTCCCTCAGAGCCCCCCAAGGAAAAGCCCGGCTGGATGAGGTCATGGCTGCGGCAGCTCTCACAAGCCTGTCCACCAGCCCCCTGTTGCTGGGGCCCCCAGCTGCAGGCTTCCACGCGGGTGAGACTCAGATGCCCGGCCTGGGATGGGGATGGGGGCAGGGGCGGGGCCACTGTTCCTCCAGGACCTTAAGTGGGGGGCAAGCAGAGCCCTCTCGCCTGGAAAACCACCTTCTAAACACTCAGACACCATGGCCCCTGGACATCCTGACTGTGGCCAAAGTCCCAGTGCCCCCAGCCTGCAGGCCTCCGTGACCACCTGCCCGTCCCCCTTGGCTGGCCAGGCATCTCCCACACGGGACTATTCTCTCCCTCCTCCCCTGTCCAAGGGAAGTTGGTCCCCACACCGTGCGGACAGCTCTTCCTGGCCACCATCTCCTCCCAGTGCCTACGTGCCCGCCCAGCTTACCTTCAAGCAGAGTGAAGGGACTCAGAGTCCCGAGAGCCCTGACCCTGGCCTGGCGTGTCCCCGCAGGGCCCGGCTCGGAGCCCTGGTCCGAGCCGCCAGTGCAGCCACCAGGCAGTTGCAGCGGCAGCGGTGGGGACTGGGGCTGGGACCCGGCTGGCGAGCAGTCCTCCCCACCCACACCGTCACCCCCACTGCCCCTGGAGGCAGCCCACTTCCTGTTCGGGGAGCCTGCCCCTCGGAAGAGGAAGGTGAGCCCGGGGCTGGGCTCAGGGTGGGGTGGCCGCGGTGGCCGAGCCTGACCACCGGCCCTCGTCACCCAGGGCGCGGTGCAGGTCCTGTTCCAGTGTCTGTGGAAGCGCTGCGGCGAGGTGCTGGGCACGGCCTCCGGGATGCAGAGGCACATCCGCCTGGCCCACCTGGGGTGCGTGCTGGCCTGCTGGCCTGCGGGCCGGGGGGCGGGCGGGCGGGCAGGGCCGGGCCCACGCTGCAGCTCCCTCCGCCCTGTCCCCAGCAGGCGGCAGGCAGAGCCAGAACAGAGCGACGGCGAGGAGGACTTTTACTACACGGAGCTGGACATCGGTCTGGAGGTGCTGGCCGGCGGGCTCTCCAGCCTGACCTCCGTGTCCCCCACGGCCTCCCTGCCGCCTGCCTTCCCACGCCTGGAGCTGCCCGAGCCCCCAGCCCTGCCCAGCCTGCTGCGCCCCCTGGCCCCGCCCCCGCCCCAGGCGCTGAGCTCCGAGGCGCACCCCCAGGTGTGCCGCACTGACCACTCCTACCAGGTGGGTGCGGTCACAGGCAGCAGCTGTGGGTGGGCCCCTGGGGCGCTCCGGAGGGAGACCACAGCTGCGTCTCCTTTCAGGGCTGCCTGGCGCCCGCCAGGCTGCAAGCGCAGCCCAGCCCCGCCGGGGCCCACGAGCCGGCCCTGCCCGCCACGCATGGTGCCAGCCTGAGGTGCGTGTGTGTCCAGGGGCAGGTGGCCAGCGGGGGGGGGGGGTTCTGGCCCGACAGCACCCACGTGTCCCCCCAGGAAGCCCCGAGGGGACGCCAAGAAGTGCCGGAAGGCGTACGGCGTGCAGCGCAGGGACCTCTGGTGCACCGCCTGCCGCTGGAAGAAGGCCTGCCAGCGCTTCCTGGGCGCCGCCCGCTGCCCGGGGCGCCCGGGTCCCCAGAGGCGGAGATGAGCCGCAGCCCGCCCCTGCCCGGGCCCTCCGAGCCGCAGGGTCTGCTCTTCAAGGGGGCAGGGGCATCAGGGCCCCCGGAGCCCCAGAGGTCGGGGGGGGGTCTCACCACTCAAAGTGCCTCTGAAGAAACCAGCCTTTTGCACTAAAGCCTGGGGTGGGCGCTGCCCCCCCACACCTGTCCGTGGACTCGTCCAGGGTGCTGATGGTCCAGCGCGAGGCCGCGTGGGAGCCAGACCTGGATGCACTTTGAGGGGTCGGGTGGGGCCTCCCCCGCCGCACCTAACCTGCTGGGCGGTACGGGCTCCGGGGCTGGCGTCGGACCTGGTTTCCGAAGCTCAGGTGTCTTGCGTCTGGGCTGCGCCAGGCGAGGAGAAAAATTAAAGATTCGGGCTTTTCCAGAAGCTGTGTCTGCCTCCAGGGCGGGGAGGTGGAAGTCGGCGGGAGTGTGGGGGTGGGTGCTGGCAACCGGCTGCAGGGGGCTGGGGCCACTCTGGCCACCCGCACCCAGGGCAGGGCGAGGACGGAGGAGGGGCCTTGTCTGAAGCACACACGAGGCGTCTGCTCGAGCAGCAATTTCCCAATTTATTGAAAGTGATCGCTTCGCAAGAAGGTCTAAGCTACCCCCGTCACAGAAAGGAACCCCACGGGCCGGCCGGAGCCCGGCACGCACGGCGCAAGACCGCCGGAGAAGGCTCTGTTCCCCTGCCCTACGGCCACGCAGCGGGGGCCCGCCGCGGCGAGCACACCTCCCCGCAGGGCGGACGCACCGCCGACGCAAACACAGGTTCGGAACAGTCCGTGCACAGTCGGCGGTCCTCCAGCACCGCCCTTTTCCTGTGTTTCGGTCGGTTGACCGGCTGAAACGCACGTTGAGAAAAATAAATATTTCAGAAAAGCACAGAGCACCCTGCCCGCCAGCCGTCACAAAGCACCGCACAGGATCGGAGAAATAGAAGACAGCAGAACACAACCACTAAGTATGGCTTTTAGGAAGGCGCACGTGTCACAGAATGAGCGAAAATAAGGTCTTTCGTCATATTGCGAAAAGTTCCAGGTTTTGCGTTTTCCCAGTTTTTTTTATAAAGAAAGATGTGCAAACTTGGAGGCAGCAGCTGTGTCTCAGGGCGGGTCCCTCCCGAGTGCTGGCGGGGTCGGCCCTGTCCCCACGCCCGGTCGGGGTCCAGGCACTGCCCGCTCGGGGCCCGGCGCTCGGACCGGGAGCTCCGGGCCCCCCGCCCCGCCCCCACGGACGGGACACCCAGCGGACCGTGCTCTCCACGCTGGTGCGGCCGACACCGAGCTCCAGACAGACACACACGGAAAAACACAAAACGTGACGTGAAATGTAATCTACACGGTTTTTCCTCTTCATAAAAAAAATATTTATTAGTTTAAACATTGATCTGGAAAAAACGAAAAGGGTCAATCACATAAAAAAAACTCTTCGAGACACAGGCCTTTCCCTTCACTCCTCCCGAGAGGACGGGTTCGCCTCCACCCTGCACATGGCACGGGCCTGCCGGCGGCTGGAGCGCCACGGGGCGGGAAGCGGGAGCCCGGGCTTCCAGTCCAGTGTGGGTTTCGAGGGGACAGACGGACGGCCCTGTGGCACGGGCAGCGGGCCCCTCGACGGTCAGCGGGGGCAGTGAGCAGGTCAGAAAGAGCAGGACGTCCTGAGTGTGGAGGCAGGTGGCCCGGGCGTGGGCAGGGCGGCCTGAGAGGCGGGGCCGGCACAAAGCCCAGAGCCCCCTGTTGGCAGCAAAGGTCTGGTTCCCTAACGTGTTGATAAGAAAGGGGGTCCGTTCAGAAAGGGGGCGGGGGGGGGCACGAGTGCCCAGGGCCCAGCTCGGGGCTGGGCCAGGCCTCGCGGTGACTGGCGGGAGGTGTGCCCGGAAGCCCCACATGGCCCGGCCCACGCTCCCAAGGGAGAGAGGGCAGGGTGGAGGGCTCGGTGGGTCCGGGGCGACCCTGGCCAACCCTGGCCGTGTCCGGTAAGGACGCCCGCGCGGAGGCGCTGGCAGCGGCCCCAGCGGGGGGAGGTGGTGGGTGCGGGCAACCCGCCCACACGTCCTTCAAGAGCGCCCCTTCTAACCGATAGAAGCGGTGGCTAATTTTATTTCAAAAATCAGTAAAAGCGAAAGCAGAGGCTCCTTCCTGGGGCAGGATTTCAAAGACAGCAAGCACCACGTCCCGTCCGCCCACTCAGGCCACTCAGGCCGGGGTCCCCACCCCCGCCCTCCACTCCCCACGAAGGCTCGCAGGGCTTTCCGCCTAGCCAAAACAGATGTGACCCAATAAAAAACGAAGAAACATGGGGACAGCCTCTGAGTCTGTGGAGACAAGGACACGGCGCTCTGTGGCACCCTCCAGTCCTCCTGGGGGGAGGGCAGAGGGCAGCGGGCGGTGCCCAGCTCAGCGGTAAGAGGTGTGGGGTCGCGTTGCCGGGTGGCCCGGACAAGGAAGAGCACAGGCGAGGCCTGTCCTGCAGCCGGCAGCCGGGTGCCGGCCAACAGGCTGCACCTGCTTTTCGCGCAGCGAAGACAACAAGGTCATGGGCGCGACTGAAAATGCAGCAGGAGGACCTCGCTCCAAGCGAAGGGAGGGGCGGCTCCGCGCGGTTCGTGGGGCGAGAGAGAGAGAGAGAGAGAGAGAGGGAGAGAGAGAGGGGCGGGGGAGAGAGAGGGAGAGAGAGTGGGGGAGGGGGGAGAGAGGGAGGGGGAGAGAGAGGGAGAGAGAGAGCGAGCGCCCGCCGACAGAAACGTGTGTGATCTCAACTCAGCTCCACTGAGAAAGTTTGGTTACCCCTCCGGGAGCGGAGGCGACAGCTCCGCCTCCAGAGTTAGCAGCAGCGCAGGCGGGCCCCCGGGGCGGGCAGCGGGCGGGCAGCGGGCGGGGCCTGGCGCGCGGGTGGGCGGAGCCACGGGCCCGGGCCCGCCGCGGCTCCCCAAGGAAGTGCACACAGAACAGAGGGCGGAGCCCTCGCTGGACCCCCGGCCACTGCGGCCTCCGCCAGGAGTTAGCACCTGGGAGCCCCTGGCCCTGGCGGGGCTGCCGCAGCTGTTTTGTGTTGAGCACCAAAGCCCAGAGGCGGCGGGGCCGCGGGGCTCTCTGTACACCGGGTTCTGCGGGGGCCCGGGGGAGGCGGAGCCTGGAAGGCAAAGGGCGACAGGCAGTGACCGACCGGACCGCGCTGCTGGGGAGGGGCTGCAGAGGGGAGGGGGCCCGAGGCCCTGCGGTGGGCGCAGAGCCCCTCAGCTCCGGGACCTGGACCTCGGGGCCTCGCTCGACTCCCAGGCGGCGTTGGCCCCACCCTGGGCCCCGCTCCGCGCTCCCCCACACGCACCTGCTGGGACTCTCCTCGCGCCCCGCACCCGCCGACTTGGTGGTCCCAGGGCCCCCACGGCGGGGCTGCACCCGCTTCTGAGACCCCAGGGCCGGCTTCTCGGGTGCGGCTGAGGGGCGGGAGCAGAGGGAAGGGGGGCCTGGAGGAGGGGCTGCGCGGGGTCGGCGGCCCCACCCCGGGCGGGGAGACCCCCAAGCCCCCGCGCACACAGGTGCGGGGGCCGCACTGCCTTCACCCACCGCGCCCGGCCCCGGGGCCTAGGAGATCCAGGCGAAGTCCTTGTCGGGCCCCCCCGGGGGGCTGGGGGGCCCCTGCGGCGAGCCCTCCTCGTCCTTGTCGTCCCCCAGGAGCGCGTCCTCGTGGGCCAGGCCCACATCGTCCTCGTCCTCCGCCAGCTCCTCCTCGCCCTCCCCTCGGGGGTCGTCGGGGTCCTCCAGGTAGGGCCCGTCGCCCGCGAAGAGCTCGGGGGAGCCCTCGGCCCCCCCGCCGTCCAGCGGGCCGGCCACGCCGCGGCCCGCGCAGTCGGCACACACGCCGTGGCGCCGTGAGCCGTGCTTGATGCCCACGCTGGCGGCCGACATGAACACGCGGCTGCAGAGCTTGCAGACGTACTTCTTGTCCTTGCTGTGCACCTGCGGGGGCCGCGCGGCCAGTGAGGGGCGGCCGGCCGGGGGGGCGGGGGCCGGCCGGTGCCCAGGGGTCGCCGCCCCCCACCGGCACGCAACCACCCCCCACCTTGGGGGGCCCCGCCTCCCTCCCGCCAGGCCTGCCCACAGAGCCCCAAACCAGAAAGGCCTACCGCACGGATGTGTGCTGCCCCCCCCCGCCCCCACTTCAGCAGGTGTGAGGTCTGGGGCCACCACACCTTCTGGGGAAGGCCGGGCGAGACCCTGGGAGCCGGGTGCTGCCCCACGGGCTCCCATCCCAGAAACGGGGTCCATGTGTCCCTGGGACCCTCCTGGGTCTTTTTGTTTGTTCGATACTTTTTTAAAAAAGACTTTGTTTATTTTTAGAGAGAGGAGAAGGAAGGGAAAAAGAGAGAAACATCAAACTGTGGTTGCCTCTTGCACACCCCCAACTGGGGACCTGGCCCCTAACCCAGGCATGTGCCCTGACTGGGAATCGAACCGGTGACCCCTTAGTTCTCCAGCTGGCACCCAACCCACTGAGCCACACCAGCCAGGGGTGTGTGTCTGATACATTTTTAAATACATTTTTAACTCCCTCGACCCTCCCCCAACAGAAGAACAAAAACTCAAGGCCCAGAGGCGAGAGCAGGCACAGCTGGGCGGGGCAGTGGGCGGCGCGGGGCAGGGACAAGGGCCGCGGGGGAGCTGGGGGCTGCAGCAGGACACCGGGGCAACAAGGGCACTCGGGCCAGGACCAGATGGCCGCACTCCCCGCCAGCGTGGACTGAAGGAAGGACGGGGGAGGGGCGGATGCGGGTGCCATGGCAACCGTGGCTCAGCTCCGGAGCTGCAGGCTGGACTTGGGGACTCAGCTGCCTCCTCAGGGTCAGGGACCCCCGAGAAATGAAACAGGAACACACAGATCCGCTCCCCAGAGGAAAACAAGTCCTCACGCTCCAGCCAGGGGGTCCGGGATTTCTGACCCCCCCCACCCAAGGCCCAAGCAGGAACCCGGGATAAAATTCCAGGGCGAGCAGGCGTCCCTGTCCACCGACCCACGAGTGTGGTTTCGCTGAAGACGAGACGCGGCCCCCGCGGTGGGTGAGGTGCCCTGTGACGATCTAAGCACGGTTTTCTAGCACCTAACGTGAATACAAAATAAATGAACACCCAAAGTAATAGTAATGTAATCAAATATGAACTGTCGTTGACAAATAAAATTTAAAGTTCTTTTAAAAATAATAATAATTGGGAGCATTCCCAGCGACCAGGCACTGAGCTTAAAAACGCCGCTCGCTACGGCGAATGGCGTGCCACGGACGCGGAGCCCCTCCCAGCCGCCCTGACCCACGAGTCCTGCGCTAGCGGCTCCCGGGGCGGCTCTGCGAGCCGTCTCCTCTGATCCCTAGGAGGGGTATTTGGAGGTCGCCGCTCAGTCTCCCTCTTTCTACCAAATTAGAGGCGCTCTCCTTCGCTCCAGACCATTACTGTGGATTTTCACGCATCCGGGCTTCCGTGGCAAGTGGCTTTCCCAGCCTCTCTCACGCACAACGTGGAAGACCGTCCTGCAGCGGAGCCCGTGCCCCCACAGTCCGGCCCGCGTCCACTCCTGCTTCCGCGGGACTCTTCTTCGGAAACTAACTTGTCGGATGGGGGATGGGGGCGGGAGGGGGGGAGGTGTAACGTGAATTGTAACCACCCCTGTTACAACTTCCCGGCACTTGTTAGTGTGACAGACAAAGAGATGCACTCCTTGCCCCGGCTGGTGTGGCTCAGTGGATTGAGAACAGGCCTGTGAACCAAAGGGTCGCTGGTTCAATTCCCAGTCAGGGCAACGCCTGGGTTGTGGGCCAGGTTCCTGATGGGGGTGGGGTGTGAGAGGCAACCACACATGGATGTTTCTCTCCTCTTTCTCCTTCCCTTCCCCGCTCTCTAAAAGGAAATAAAATATTTTTTAAAGAAGAGATTCACTTCTGTTTGGACAGGAGGTCCCTCCCTCTTCCTCTCTCCCCTAAAACACTGGCTAAAAGGGACACGCAGCTGGAGAGGGGGGTTCCAAAGTCAGGGCGCCACGTGGGCCTCGTGCTCCTGCCCCTACCCACTTGCTCCCCAGGTCCAGTCTGGGCCCGGCTGGGGAGCAGGGAAGGCCACGGCCCACCCGTCGGGTGTCCCCTCTGGGGCACTCGCTGGCTGGGGCTCCTGGGGCGTCTCTCAGCCAGCCGGGCTGGGGCGCCCACTCCTGGAATGTCTCCCCTCCAGCTCTGTGATCTGACCTCAAAGGGTCTCCCCCAGGTGTCCTAGCCCCAAACAAGCACCCCCAGGGGCTGGACGAGCACCAAGGCCGCCCGGCGTGAGGGGCGGGCTGGAAGGTCCGACAGGAGCCCTGACCCACAGGCGGTGGCTCTGCTCACGACGTGGACCAACACCCATGGCAATGCCCTGCCCACTCCAGCGGTCACCCTGCTGTCAGGGGCCCAGCCTGGAGGTCTTGCCTCACCCCCCAGCTGCCACCCTTGTGTCCCTTGGGTGCCCCTCGCCCATACGATGTGGCCCCCGCAGACTGGCCTGGCTGGCTCTGCCCTCCCACGCCTCCTGGCGCACCTGCTCCTGATGGTCAGCGGGTCAGCTATGGGTGTCCAGCCAGGCCTGTGCACCCCACGGATGGCTCTGGAAACCCCAGGGTCCCAAACTAGCGACAACACCCCAATGCCTTCTCCCTACCTCCACTCGGGCCCAGGGCCATCCCCCCCCCGCAAACGGGCCCAGTGCACATGCCGGGGGGACTCACTCAGATTCCGCATGCACCCCCGGTCGGCCCCTCAGCCTGAGCCACCGGGCCTAGCTCATCTCCCCCCACCCCAGAGGCCCCTCACCCTGCCTGCTTTTAGGGAGCTGCCCCCATTCCAAGGATGAGCTTTTCAGGCCCTGGCCACGCAAACCCACCACTCAACGCCCAGCCTGACAGCGGCCGGCTGGGCTCCCGCAGGACGGGAGGGGCCCGTGGCAAGGGTGCAGGGAGCGAGCTGGGGCCCCATGTGACTCCGGGGCAGGGCACAGAGGAAGTGAGGACGTGGCAGGACCCGGGGGGCCAAGGGCAGGGGTCCCGGCAGGGGTGGAAGCGTTGCCCAGGCCCGGTGCCGCCCAGGGCCCGAAGGGAAGAAGGGGAACCCGGGGAGTGATGTGGCCCCCACCTCTGTGCCCAGGCCTGGGGGGCGGAACCAGGGAATGTGGGGTGAGTGGACCCCACTTCAGGGCTGCCTGCGGGGCTCCTCCCCACCCCCGAGCCCCGCCTCCCCGACGACGACCCCTGACCCCCAGCCGCGCGCCCCGCCCGGCGCTCACCAGCGTGTGCCGCTTCATGTGCTCGCGCCGCGTGAACTTCTTCCCGCAGATCTCGCAGGGGTAGGGCCGCTCGCCCGTGTGGGAGCGCATGTGGCGCTTGAGGATGCACTGGTGCATGGCCGAGAAGCTGCAGTAGGGGCACTTGAACTTCTTCCTGATGACCGTGAACTCGTTGACTGGAAGGGAGCACAGGGCGGGTCAGGCTGAAGGCCAGAGGCAGCCGCGCCCACTGCTCAGACCCAGCGGACACCTTCCGTCCGTGTCTGAGACGCGGGGACGCCCACGCCTGCGGCTGAGGCGGGGACGCCGTGTGCACATGTGGGGGGAAGCGCCGGAGGACAGCCCTGAACCTCACAGCCACGGCCACGGCCCCTGCCGCCCAGGCCCAGCGGCCAGCAGCCCCTCCACCTCCGCAGGCCAGGGAGTGGAGGCGGGATCCACCCCGAATGCGCAGCCAGCAGCCTCCGCCCGTGCTGACTTTCCACACTTCAGGTGGCCTCGTGGTGGCGGTTACGGGTTCGGGGTCCCAGGTGTCGGCCCCACTGTGCACTGGGGTGGCCCGCACACCACAGTCACCCCCTCCTGAGCCCGCACGGCGTCCTCCCAGCTCCCCAGATGCCGCCCGGGTCTCTGCCATGGCCAAGGGCAGCCTGGACCCTGCGGTTGCGCGCGGGAGGGGCCCCCGGACAGAGGACACCTGTCCCCAGGCACCTGGAGGCAGCTTCCCGGGGCCTCAGCTGCGTCAGCGCCCAGGGACAGACCGAGGGCCAAGAATGCCGGACCAGTCGGGGGCGGCTGCCGGACAGACACCGCGGGAGTGGGGGCGGCCTCCCTCCCGCTGCACCCTCGGACCTCGTGCAAGTGTCCATGCCCAGCCGGCCCCGGCCACAGTCACAACCACCCCTGGGGGCGCCGAGAGGGAGGCAGATGTGAGGACAAAAGCCACAGAGTCACAGCCCAGGAGGGCAGGGGTGACCAGGGGCTGGGCCCTTCCCGCAGGGGAGCCAGCTGGAGGAATGACCAGCTGGTGTCCGTGAGCTCCACACCCCCAGCCCTGGGCCGCCCACCATGCCACAGAGCCGGGGACCCAGAGGCCCTCCACAGCCGAGCATCTAGGCCATCCAGCAACCAGAGCCCCGGGCTCCCCAGCACGGGACAGCGGGACCGCCGGCCGGGTCTGCCGGGGCCCCACCAGGCACGCACCCCGGAGCTCCCTGCGCCGCGGCCTCCTGCACACCTGGTCGGGCAGCCGGCAGGTGGCTCCACTGCCCTGCCTCACCTTTGAGCTGCTACTGTCACGTGCCTCACTCCCGTCTGTGGGACGGAACCCACCGGAACCCCTGCCGCAAACTGTTTCCGCTCGTCGCCCAGACAGACGCCCCTCCCCGGGGCCCCGGGGCCCGTCATCCGTCTGTGCTTCTGTCTGGGGCACGACCCCCGGCCTCAGGCCGCTGTCCCTGCTTCTGGTCCGCGGCCACGAGTTCCCTCGCTTGTGCTTGTTTGTCCGCGGTGTCTCCCTGCCGCCCGGACGTCCGGAGGACGCTTCTGCTGGGTACGGGCTCCCCGGCTGGCAACTTTGTTGCCGCCCTGCCCCGGCTGGCGCTTCTGCAGCTTCTGCTGGAAGTCGGCCCTCCGTCTGCGGCTCTGGAAGGAGACGTCTCCCCTGGCCGCTTCTGAGACCTTCCCCTTTGTCCTCGGTTTTCCACAGTCTGACCGTAATGTGCCCGGATATTGATCTGTTGTTGTTGATATTGGTGTTCTATTTTGGTTTCCATGCTGCACTGGGCTTATACAGGTTGTCAAAACTCTAGGCTGGCGTCTTTCATCTGCTTGGGGAAATCTGGGCGGTCGTCTCCCCGCCCCCCGCCCCGCCCCTCCGCGGCCCGGGGCTCCGGCCGCACGTGCAGGAAACACCCCAGCGTGTGCACTGCCTCCCTCCCCCATTCCTCACTCTCCTTCCCCCCGAGCCTCCTCGGCGCGCAGTGTGGCCTTCGCCTCGTCTTCCTGTCCACTCACTCGCCCCCTCTCGTGCCGGGACGGCCGGCCGCTGAACCACCGAGGAGCTCTCAACTCCGGATCCTGTGTTCCCAGCCCCGGGATGTTCACCTCGCTGTGCCTGCGAGCGCCCAGCCCCCTCGGAACGCCCCATCTCCCCATGCGCCTGGTCCGCCGTCTCCTCGAGGGTGTGGGTGACGCGAGTCTTCCAGGCCCCTCCGATGAGTGAGTGTGACAGCGTTTGGCTCTGCCGGTTGGCAGACTTCGCCGCTCTCTTGGCGCGCAACCGGCTCCTCTCGGCCCAGCCTGTTTCCGGCTCCAGCGTTCGGGGAACGTGCCCGAGGGAACTCTGGGGGAGCCCCGCACGTCCCCCGCGACCGCCACCTTCCAGCCCCACCGGTGCCGGCGGCTCCCCCGCCCCAGAGCCCGAGTGGGCCAGGGAGGGCCGTTCTGCCCCGAGGGCAAGCCCAGCGCACCCCGGTCCTGGTCGAAGCTGCAGGTTCCCAGAGTTTTCTGTACAACGAAGGAATGTGTTTTCTTTCGCACCCGAGTCACGTGACGCTGCCAGCATGGACCGTGACCAAAACGGAATCCTTGACTCCAAATGCCGGGGAAACGAGTAAACGAACATCCGCCAGGGTGTGGGGAGTCTCCATTAACACACACACGTGCGCACGCGCACACACGCACGTACCCAAGCGTGTGAGGCTGCCCGTCCCCGTTCCGTGAAAGCCAAGGTCAACCCGAGGCAGGTCTGTGGCAGCCAGTGGACCCCAGGGAAGGACCGGCCGACCCTCATTATCTAAACCCTGGGTGTGGAAGGAAGGTCAGTGTTACGTTTTCATAATCAACAAGGACAACTAGACCCTCCTGCAACCAACCCCTGAGCACCGGTGTCTCCGTGAGAAGTCCAGTGGAAACGAGAGACGGGAGGTGAAGCTCAGAGATGGCCCCGCGGAGACCCCGTGTGCCGGGGGACCGTGCACCTCTCCGGGGAACAGTGTTGGGCGTGAGAACAGAATCAAACAGCATTTGTCCTAAAAACGCTCCTTGCACCTGTTCTTGTTTTGCCACCCGGCACAGACCTGCTTCTTCTAGGTGCGATGGGACCTGTTTAACATTTTCTAATTGATTTGGAAATGGAACTGAAGCTCTCAGCCCCGCGGTGCAGAGAGCGGCACCAGAGTTCGGGTCTGTGGGGGGCCAGTTCCCCCAGCGAGCGGGCAGCCGCGGCCGCAGGGCCCGCGGTCAGCACAGAGCTGGCGGGCAGGGCGGCCGTGGAGTCAGCGACCCCTCCGCCCGGGCTCCTCCCGCCACAGCGACCTCACGGTGCCAAGGCCGACCCTGACAACAAGGAAAGGAGAGGAAGTCTCTAGAAGTGCCGTTCAGATGCCAACGGCCGAGCACAGAACCAGGACCTTTCCGAAGGGCGAGGGGCACCCACTGACCCGTCTTTCAGCTCCGGGAGATGCTGGAGCCAGTTGCCTTGGCAACAACATCCTGAGCCTCTCCGAGAACCCCACTTCCCTCCGCCACGGGAACTGGTCTGCTGACGCAGGGGAGGCGCAGGGCCTGCGGGCGGACCACGCCCCGGCGGCCGGGGTCGGGGTAGCCTCTCAGACTGGGGTGGGGGGGGAGGCAGGTCTGGCCCAGAAGCCCAGCCCCTGCCCGCGGGAACACGCACCAGAACCTGGCGCCGGTCACGTGCGTCCCTCCTCCCTCCCTCCCTCCCGCTGGGGGCCGGGAGCCCACCGTGCGGCCACCTGCCCTGCGTGGCCGGCGGCCTGGAGAACCAGCGTCCAGGGAGGGGACGAGAGCGCACAGTCTGGGCGACGCTCGTCCGCGGCTGGTCCTTCACCCTGACAGAGAGACGCGCATGGGGCGGTGGGGGGGAGCGGCGCTGGGCCTCGTCCTCGGATCTTTCCAGAAGGTAACGGGGTCAGAGCCATCGGGCCCCTACCCCTGCGGAGGGCGGAGTGCTTCCCTGCCCAGCTGCTACTGGAGGGCAGCTGCCCGCCGGGTGGGCGCCGAAACGCCTCCGCCTGGCCGCCCGCGGAGGACTCCAGGTGACCGCCTCAAAGACATAAAGGACGCCTGGTCCCAGTCCCTCGGCCAGGGGCCGCTGGGGCCTGCGCCGCAGGCCGGGCTGCGGCAGACGTCTGCTCCCGCACGGAGGCGCTGGTTTCCGTGGGGCGCTGTCCCCTGGGCCTGTGCCGACCTCAGGTAGAGCCGTCGGGGCCACAGGACTCTGGGCGCGCCCGGCGCCGGCCGGTGGAAACCCCGAGGAGGCCTTGCGGCTCCGCTGGGCGCCGACCTGCACCAAGGGGCAGGCGGCCACACGCCGCCGGGGCGCAGCAGAATCGAGAGGCTGTGTGAGCAGAGCAGACTGCGCTGCACCCCGTACTCACCGGGCCCGTCCGGCCACCTGCAGGAGGACCCGTCGGGGGTGTGGAAGGGACGGCTGCGGGTAGCCGCCAGCGAGCGGGCGGGCGAGAGAGGCCCGCGTCCCCCCCACGCCGTCCTGTTAGCGGGGGCCGCGGAGACTGACCCCGGAGTCCGGAGTCCGTGGTCGGCTCTCCTCAAAGGTGCCTCTTCCTCGGGGAGGCGGGCGGGGACCGGCCAGGCCTCCCTCTGTGCGAGACGCGGGCAGCGCGTGTCCGAGGTCCCGAGCCGCCGCCGGTCCGCGCGGACCCAGCTGTGCCGGCCGGCTGCTGGCTGCGGGGCCTGCTGCCCTGGACCCGCCGCGGCCCCTGAGCGGCGAGGGCCGCCTTTCTCTTGGGGAAAGTTCCCCCGAGAAGCGTCTGCATTCCAGGACGACGACCAGTCTGACTTCATGCATGCGAGACCGTCGTCAGCGCAAAGGCTGCCAACGGCGTCCTCCTGAGCGTGGCGGGGCTCGGCGCCCGTACGCCCACCTGTGCGCACAAGGGCAGGACGCGGCCGGCGGGTCCCGGGTCTCAGGTGGGCGTCCGGGCCGAGGGGAGGGCGGAGTGGCTGCTCTGTGACCTCGTCCCCCCGGTGACGCGGGCCGGGGCCAGGCCCCGGGAAGCCAGGAGATGAGTCTCAGCCGGGGGGGGGGACAAGCAGCAGCTGGTGGGGCTTAGAGAGTTCCGGAAGCGCCGTCCTCCACCTCCCAGTGGTGAGCGGGGCGCCACGTGGGACGAAGCCTGGGTCCCGCCGCCCCCGAGCACCGCCGGTCCGGGGCGGGGTCTCCCTCCCAGGGGCCGTAGCCCAGAAAGTCAAAACAAGTCGTGAAGACGCAGAGCCCGTGCCCCCGGCCCTGAGAAAGGGTCTGAGATGCGGGTCCCGGTGTCCGGTGTCCGGCCGGCCCCTTCTCCAGAAGCGGGCTCCACCCCATCCGGGGACGGCTCCTGGCCCCCTTTTTAAAAGCCGGGACACGGCCCTCACGCCGTGGCCTGCATGAGGTCTGCTGCGGCAGCCTCCAGACACAGCGCCTCGTCCCAGAGCCGGCAGACGGGCACGCGGCCGCCCTGCTGGGCCGAAGGCGGTGAACCTGGCGTTTGGGGGCTTGAGGACCCCTCCTCGGCCCTGTCGGGACGTGGCAAAGCCCACGCTGGGGGCAAAGGCTGCCAGACACGGAGACGGTAGAAAAAGCCACAAATCACCCCCGTGCGTCACTCTTGGTGTCGAGAACAGACCGGCCACGTGGGGGCAGCACAGACCGCTGTCACCGTCCCAAGTGCGGACCGGCCCCCTCGGAGCAGCTGGGAGGAGACGGGACCTGGGGGGGTGGGGGCGGGGAGGGGGGCGGGGGGCAGAAGCTGAGGAGTGCGGACAGCAGAGCGTGCCCGAGGCCCCGGCCTCTCCACAGCCAAACATGCCCGGTGGCTTCCCAACCTGCCCTTTGTCACCCACAAAATGTGTCCATTGTCCCGTCGGCTGCATGTCCAGCTGCCGGCCCCGCAGACGGTCGATTCCAGACGCCCAGATGCCTTAGGGCCGTCTCCTGTAACAGTCCCAGGCTCCGCACAAATCGGAGGGGGCGGGACGGACACGCGGGGGGTTGATCCCAGTGCCTGGCTTAGGTGCTGGCCGTGTCGCAAACACTGTTCTGTTTTAAACTCGCAGTAAGTGGGCAAGACACGCTACGCCCATTTCTCAGACGCAGAAAACGAGGCTGGGCATGGTTTTGAAGGCACGCCCGAACCCGCGCCCAGCAGCCCTGGTCTGACCCGCAGCCAAGCCCCAGCCCCCGACCCTGCGTCCGGCCGGGCAGTCGCTCTCGATTCAGCAAAGTAAGGGGACGCCATGTTGGTTTTAGCCTTTCTCAGCCGTGGCAGCTCCCATCACCCCAGCACAGAACCGTGGTGAACACCTCAGAGATCGTGACAACTAAGTTACAAAGATACCGGTTTTCAGAGTAAAGGTGAACACGAAGACACACGTCCCAGGTCCCCAACACCCAGGACACCGGTGGCTCTCCCTTCGCCCCGTGGGGCGGGCCCCCCCCCCGCCCCGCACACCCCCTGCCCCTCAGGCCCCTGCACACAACACACTCAGGCCAGGGGCCGCTGGGCCGGGCGCCTCGCACCCTCTCCACACTCGGCTCCTCCCCTCTGTGGTGTGTCCCATCCCCCTGCAGGGCAAGGGGGCCCCTGCTGGCTCCCACCCCACTGGCCACCACCCAGACTCCAGGCGTCTCTTCTCCCTGGTGACCGCTCCTTGCCACCCGTGCCCCCACGACGGCTCCTCAGGGCACCCGTGACGTGGGCGGCGGCCTGCTCACAGGCGGGCACGCGGTGGGCTCGTGCGTGGGGACCCGGACGAGCCACCGCCCTGTGTGTGTCGGGAGGGCGCCCCGGGCCCCAGCCAGTCAGCCGCTCGGAGCCACTGGAATTTGGTGACGCAAATGCGGGAGGCCCTGATGGCGCCAACGCGGCATCCAACCCCTTGGTCCGGGTCCCGGAGCAACCGGCACCGTCTCGAGCAGACAAAGCCGGGGCATGCGCCCTGGTTCCAGCCGCCTCCCAACTCTCCCCACGAGGAAGGGGTCTCAGTGCAGAGGCGGGGCCGGGGGGGTGCCGGGCAGGTGCCCACAGAGGGCGCCCCGAGTCCCGTCCCCTTGGCCCACGGTCCTGACTCAGGCAGGCGCCCCGTCCCGGCCGGGCCCTGACCCCGGACACTAACCCTGGGCACCTCTGAGCTCCAGCAGCCATGCGGCCTCGACTGTCAGTAGGAAACAGCTGCCCCCCACCCCTCGCCCTGAGGACCACACCGCCTCCCCGACAGGCCTCGGGGGGCTGAGGCGCCGCCGAGACCCACAGCCAACGGCCGGAGCCACGCCCGGCATGGGGCCCGCCTCCCGCTCTGCCCCCTGCTCCTCCCCCGCTCAGAACCAGGGCGGGGCGGCCGCGGGCCGGCACTTACGGGACAGGGAGTGGGCGCCCTTGGGCAGGTACTCCAGCAGCAGGGAGCTGTCGTCCCCCAGCACGTCCGCCTTGAGCGACAGCAGGCTGTTCTTGCTCATGAGCGCCGCTCGCAGGTTGGCCACCGCGGTGGCCTGCTGCAGGGCCTCCTCCTTGTCCGGGGTGAGCGGCGGGCCCAGGTAGCTGGCTTCGGCCCCCAGGAGGCCCTCGTCCCCCGGGCCGTAGAGGTCGGCCCTCTCCCCTCGGCTGTCAGAGCTGCCGGCCTCGGTGACGGTCAAGTCCGAATCTGGGGGGGGAAGCAGACGGGCGGGTCACTTCGAGGCTCTCCGGGCGGGGAAGGGGCGAGCGAGGGCGGTGAGCCTCCGGACCGCCCGCTGCCTGGAAGGTCCCCCCACCCTGTGCCCAAGGTCAAAGACACAGCCCCGGACCTGGGGGAGTCCCGGCCAAGGCCTCAGGCGGGGGCCCTGCCCCCAGGCGCGCAGCCCAGGCTGTGGCGAGTCTGCCGCCTCCGGGACACCGCGCAGCCCCCCAGGGAACACCCACCGCCGGCCTCAGCGACCTCGAGAGGACGCAGAGCAGGGCCCTGCAGCCCGGGGTGTGGTCACAAGGCTCATGGGAACATCCCGGCGTCTGCCGACCCCCTGCCATGAAACAAGCCCACCTGCAGCTGCGTGGCCAGAGCCCTGGCGTCCCCCCGCCGGGCACCCAGGTCACGGGCACGTCCCGCAGGCCGGGAGGAACACTGATCGCCGCCTCCTAAGGTAAGTAAGGATGACGCGGCTCAGACGAAACCTCGGAGCAACCGGTCCTCCCTGAAGGCTCGGGATTCGCAGGGTGACAGACGAGCGCCGCAGGGCCCCGGCTGCCCCCTGACATCAGGGAGGCACGGTCACCACCCCGAGGGGCGCCCCCCCCACCGGGCGCTTCTCGCTGCCAACGAGAACGCAGAGCGAAGGCGTCCAGAGGAGGAGCGTCTGAGGCCTGCCCACCGGAGGGGGCAGGGGCGCCGGCGGGCTGGGCCCGGGGCAGCGTGCAGACGGCCCAGTGACCTGGGCGGCGCCAGGGCCCCCGCCCCGGGTCGCAGCCTGCGTCCAGAAAGAGGAATTGGAGGCAGCGGCGTGGAAAACGAAGCTCTGCAGGCAGAACAGGAAGTTGCAGGCAGTACCCACATCGCGGCCGGTCCGCGCGCAGAGTTCGACCTTCCGTGCAAACCGCGCAGGGGCCGGCACTGGGCCGCCATCCGGCAGCAGCTGAGACCGTCGGGAACCCTCGGGGACTGTGAGCGGTGCGGCCCACACGTGCCCACACGTGCCCACACGTGCTCACATGCACCCCCGCTCAGGGAGCCCGCGCGGCCCCGCGGCCCTCCCGCCTGCCCGGCTCCGGACACGCTGTCCCGTCCAGGACTTTCTGGCGCTGGGAAACTGATGTGCTGCCCCTAGACCCTCAGCCGCAGCGCCTCCCCCCGCCCCTGGCGCCCGGCGTCCCACTCCCTGCCTCTGCGACCTCGGCTCCTTTCGGGGCCTCCTCTGGGCCGAACCACACGTCCTTGTCCCTTTGTGTCACTGAGCATCACGACCTCGGGGGTCATCCATGCTTGGGTTTCAGAACCGCCTTCCTCTGAACCGCTACATAGTGTCCTGCTGTTTTGGCTTGTTTTTAAGATTTTATTTATTTATTTATTTATTTAGAGAGAGAGAGAGAGGGAGGGGAAAAGAGAGGGAGAGAAACATCCTTGTGTGGTTGCCTCTCACACGCCCCCTACTGGGGACCTGGCCCAAAGCCCAGGCACGTGCCCTGACTGGGAATCGAACCGGTGACGCTTTGGTTTGCAGGCCGGCGCTCAGTCCACTGAGCCGCACCAGCCGGGGCCGCTCTGTGTTATTTCTTACAACTGACTATTAACGTAGTCCTGGCTGGACTGCTCAGTGGGTTAGAGCATCGTCCCAGTACACCAAGGTTTCAGGTTCAATTGCCGGTCAGGGCAGATACAAGAATCAACTGGTGAATCCTTAATAAGTCACAACAAATCCATCTCTCTCTGTCTCCCTTCCTCTCTCTAAATTCAATAAATTAAAAAAATTTAAAAATGCACACAGCGGATTATTAATCCATAATCGTCTCAAAATGATGCTCTTTTGCTCGTAGTTCTCAAGTTGGCTGCTCTGGCGATGGTCCCGGAGGGGCCCGTGGGGTGGGGGCGGCGCTGGCCGCAGGGCAGGAGGGACCGTCCCTGGCGGTGGAAACGGTCTCCCTTCTGACCCCAGGGGTGAGACGAGTGTCGAACACCCGAACTCCCCCTGGTGGCCTCACTCACAGGGACAGACGAGGGGCAGTGAGGCTGGGGATGCGGGGCAGCGAGCCGGAGTGCCCGCGGTCACGGGACGGGGGCGGCGGCCACTCCGGGGAGAGTCTGGCCCGGACGCTCCGCTCCCAGGAGTTCGCGTGGAGAAAGGAAAACTCGAACAGACCGGCCAGCGGCGTCCACGGGAGCTGAAGCCAGGTCAGGATGGCCGGCCCTGGCCGGGGCGCCCCGTCTGGGGACCAGAGGCCGGACCAACAAACGCCAGGGTGTGTTCAGTCGGCGGAACAGGCACCACGACCCGCAGGGTGCGCGCCGTGGACCGCACCGCCCCGCCTGCTGGCAGGCGCCCCTCCGCACGTGGAGTCCCAGGTGGGGTGCGGCTGGACGCAGGGAGGACGGGGGGACACGCAGGCCGGACACGAGGTCTGCCCGCCCCTGCCCCCGGCCACCACGGTGGGCACACGTCCCCGCACGGCCCGACCTGTCACACCAGTGAGAGGCCACGGCTGGACGTGGTTCCCGTGGGCGTGGTTCCCGGGAAGCTGCCAGGGGAGGGTGCACTCGCGTTTCACTCGAGAGAAAGCACTGCAAACGCTGACGGGCCCCAGGGTCACCGCGGCGGAGGCGGGACACCCAGGGGTCAGAGCGGGCAGGCGGCCTGCAGGAGCGGACGCCAGATCCCTGTCCGGCACCCCAAACCACGTGCGGTGACCCCGAGACACGTCCCTGTTGGGAAAGGGCGCCCCCGCCCATCAGCGGGCTGGGCTGGAACGCCCTGCTCTCCGAGACGCAGTAAGCCCTGGATAAAAGCGAAGCGACCTGCACCGGGGAGCCCACCTCAGGCTCCCGGACCCCGGGGCGGAGGGGCGCAGGGGCGCTGGGTGGGCGGCGGGAGCGGGCAGACCGCCCCACGCGAGCTCACAGCTGCGCGCCCTTGTCTTAGCAACTCGGAGCCCCCGAGCGGGAGCGGCTGACGGTTGCCCGGGAAACCGAGGGATTTCAGAGTGCGAGGCAGAGCTCACTTGTTGGAGTCTAAAAACACCTTCTGCTCGGCGGGGGCATTCAGACCCGCAGGCCCACGGCTGGGGAAGGCCGCTGCCTCTCGGCGTGTCCGTGGACTCGCCCGTCTCAAGGCCCCCAGCGTCGCCGCCCACGGGTGACGGGCCACCAGGGCGGAGGAGCGGGCACTCTGCGCTGACCGCCCCGGCCGCCTCGGCCCGGGGCCTCTGTCCTGGTCTCTCACCACGGAGCGCCGCGGGCCAGGCTCTCGTCAGAGCCGGCGGACGACTCTAACCAGAGTCAGGAGCCGACGGGGACACCGCTGTCCCTCTCCCGGCCGACAGCTAGCAGGGGGACAGGGGGCTTTTCCATCCGCTCAGACACCCCGGCTTCCTCTGACCCAGTGCAGTCCAGCTCCCGCGGCTCCGGGGGGCAGCCTCCTGGGGACAGCTGCCAGGTCGGCAGTCGTACTTGGGAGTCACCCCCGGGGGTGAGTGGTGACTGGCAGCCGGTGGGTGGGGAAGCCGGGGTGCTGAGGAGGTCTCGGGATCCCCGGGCAGTCTCCCCGCCCGCCCGGCTAAGGGACCCTGGCCAGCCATGAACACACACACACACACACACACACACACACACACAGGAACCGTGGGACACAGGAGCAGCGAAGACTCCTCCCCACCACAGTGTCTCCCGGGTTCTGCTGTTCGGTGGATCCAGAGTTGCAGTCAGGGGATAGAGGGAAACTCTGGGAGATGAGTTAGAGATGCCCCCCCACGGTACACTTGGGAATGGTTCCGGGGCAGAGTGGACGGTGTGTGTATTTCACGACAGCAGCAAAAGCCACGGCGCAGGGGGCCGGGCGCGCCCTTCCCGGTGAGGAGAGCAGGAACAGGGCTCCCCAGGGACCCCGGGAAGCCTTCCCGGCAGGGCAGCGGGTGCCCCACCAGCATGCAGCATGCTTCGTACTTGTGACATTTTCCAGGGTTCAGCGCCCCACAGTTTGCTGCCTTCTGTCCACTTCCGTCCACTCACTCGCTGACTTCCTACCTTCTCTCTGGACAGGGTCCTCCACGCAGACCACTCCCTGAGAGGCCTCTGTCCTGGCCCGGACCGATGCCGGGTGGTCCCTGAGCCCTACCCACAGCCCCAGACGCCCCAGGGTGCTTGTTCGCCCGTCTGCCCCCGAGAAAAGCTCAATGTGACTGTCACCACCTCCAGAAAGAGTCCTGGACGGTGAGTGAACATTGACTTCTTCCCAGTTTACTCCCCGGAGATGGATACAAAGTATCGGATGGTGCAAAGTATCAGACAGAGGGTGAGAACCAGGGACACAGGAAGCCCAGGGCCCCGCACGGTGTGGTGAGCCCAGAGGCCACGAGAAAAGCACACGAGGGAAGGCCACCAGCGTGAGCCCGGCAGCGGGTCGCTCTGTCTACGCCGCGCCGTGTGCCGCCACGGCCCCCCCACCCCCACCCCCCGAGCAGCACCGGGGCCCCGCCCGGACCAGAGGAAAGGCTTACTTGAGTCTCGGATGTTGAACGGCCACCCGGACGTGGGCAGGAAGGACGGCACCGGGGAGCCGGCCCGGCTCTCGTCCTCCACCTGCTGCGTGATGTGCCGGACCGTCTCCTTGTTCTTCCGGTTCTTCCTCCGGCCGGTGGGCTGCCAGCCGTCTGCTCCGGCCTGCTCGGGGAAAGAGTTCTGCGGCGCCCCGTCCCGGGCGGAGGGCGGCTCGCCGCCCCCGTAATGAGGCGGCGAGATCTGCTCCTCCTTGATGCGCAGCGGCCCGTAGCCCCCGTCGCCCGGCCACAGCGCCTGCACGCCCAGGTCGTCGGGGCCCTCGGCCCTGGGCTCCGGGTCCTCCTTGCCGTAGCTGCTGCCCCCCTCGTGGCAGCTGGCGATGGCCGAGTCCCCGGAGGAGTTGGTGGGGCTCGCGCGCCGCGCCAGCCACGGGGAGATGCTCCTCCCGGCCATGACGGCGGAGATGAGGGCGTCGGCGCCGCCGCCCGGGGGGGCGCCCATCTCGAACTCCGCGAGCTCGTCCGAGGCGTCCGGCTTGATGCTGATGTCCAGCGCGGCCTTGATGAAGTCGTGGCAGGCCTGCACGATGTCCGTCATCTGCAGGAAGCTGGCCGCGGACATCACCTCGATGACGTTCCGGCTGGTGAGCGCCAGGTGGGCCGAGTACATGAAGTCGATGATGGCCTTGAAGCCCTGGGCCGTGACGATGTCCAGGTGCGTGACGGTGGCCGGCTCGGACGTCTTCTGCACCTGGCAGTACAGCGTCTTGAAGTAGCGGCTGCTGCCCAGCAGCACGTTCTTGTGGGCCTTGAAGACCTTGCCCTCGACCACCACACACACGTCGCACAGCACGCCGTGCTGCCGCTGCTGGTCCAGCTCCCGCAGCAGGTGCCGGTAGTGGGACGCGATCTCCATGTCTTCCTTCCGGTTGTTCATGGGGACGCCGGGGTGCCGCCGCTCCTACAGACTCTGCGGGGACAGGAAGGGACAGTCACCCACTCGCGGCCGACACGGCGCGCCCGGCGGTCGGGCGGCGTGCCCGGGAGGAAGGCGGCCCGTCCGCGGCGCAGGGCGCGCGGCCCCCGGGGGCCCAGCCGCCACCGCGATCGGGACGGGGAGGGTGGCTCTGGCGCGAGGCTCGGGCCCGGGTTTCTGGACAGAAGCCCACACCCACCACGCAGTCGCCGAGCACACGGCAAACATCCCGGGAGCAGGGAAGACGCCCGTCAGCAGCCGAAGCGAAGTGCTCACCCGAACGGAAGACCCAGGGAGCTGACCCGAGTCCTCGCCCCGCACCCCCGAAGGGGCGCCCTTACAGACGAGCGGACAGAAAAGGAGGGTTTCCCACAGAAAGCCCGCGAGCGGCAGGGTGCGAGCCGCCGTCCGCGCCGGCCAAACCTCCCGCCGGCAGCCCGGCGCCAGAACGGACCGGCGCCCCCAGGTCGCACCGGTGAAGCCATGCGGCCGCGGAAGCTCCCCCCGACCTGGTGCCCCTCCCACCGCGCAGTCCCAGCCCGTGGGCTGGTGCTCTCGCCGCCCGGCTGGCCTCCGTTTCCCGGGCGCGAGGAGGCGCCGCGGACAAGTGGCTCGGACAACAGGACTCAGGGCTGGGCTCTGGCATCGCCTGGAGGCCCGGACCCCAGACCCAGGTGTCGGCAGGGTCCGTGCCGCGGACGACTCGGAGGGAAGACGCATCCCAGACTCTCCAGCTCCTGCCGGCGGCCGGCGGCCCTCGCGGGTCCTCGGCTCGCAGACACCCCCCATCCCCGCCCGTCCCACCGTCCCCTCGGCCGGTCGGGCAGGGTCAGGTCAGGGTCCACCCGCTCCGGCGTGGCCGCCCCTGAGCACGTCACGGTTTCTGCCTGCGTGACCACAGAGCCCAGGCCTCGGGCTCCGCGCCCAGAGGGGGGAAGCGCGGGTTTCGTGATCCGATTCCCTCTATGAGTCAGTCCCTGCGCGCCAGTCAGACAGACCCTCGAGAACCAGGAAGGTCGCCGAGAGGCGGAGAGGGCTCCGTGCCGCCTCTTCCGAGACGACCTCACGGGGCTCGCGCCTCGAGCCACGTCCGCTGCCCTGGCACGATCCGAGACAGGCTGCCTGCCGCTCCGCTGGGCGCCTCAGAGCCGGCCTGCGCTCCACGAAGGGGCTCTGCGGCAGGACGACGACGACGCCACGTTCGGGGCCGGGGAGGCGCCGCTCCAACGCCGATAAGACAAGGAGTTTGAACCGACGGTGCCCCGAGGGGCCACATCTGCGGGGGAAGGGCGGCAGCCACACTCGCGTTTCCGGGGGAGCTCTCTCGGCACCGGGGAGCCGTCCTCAGGGTCCAGCCCGCCCGGCCACCGTGGGACAGGGGCTGCCCGTGGCTGTTCGGCAGCGGTGACCGCCAGGGGCCCTAAAGATGGAAGCGCCCTGGCCAGCAAAGCTGGTCAGGTCATACAGCCACCAGCGAGTGAGCGTTCTCGTGAGACCGCAGTGAGCTCACGGCGCGAGGGCAAGGAAGCAGAGCACCGGCCCTGCCTGGTGGGGGCCACTGGATGCTAGAGGCACACCTGGCCGCAGGGCGCACACCTGGCCGCAGGGCGCACACCTGTCCAGGGGGGCGCACACCTGGCCGCAGGGCGCACACCTGGCTGGGGGGCACACACCAGGCCACAGGGCACACACCTGTCCGGGGGACGCGCACCTACAGACACACACTTGTTCACAAGGTGCACATTGGTTCACGGGAACACCTGTGGGCTCACACCTGGGGACAGACGCCCTGACCATCGTCTGCTGCAGGGAGCGGAGGCCCCTTCAGGCATTTGGAGGGTCCGCGGGGCGCCCCTTGAGCACGGGGCCCCTCAGAGAGGAGCCCTTGGTCTACGGAGGACGCAGATGCCACGTGGCGCAAGGTTAGGCGCTCAGCGCCGGGTGGGACCAGGGGCCAGGGGCACCCGTGGCCGCACGGGCACCTGAGAGGCCCGTGCCCCTCTGCCGCCCCCAACGCCACCTGTGCCCTTCTCTCCTCCGGGGGCTCTGTCTGCTGCGTGCCCACCTCGCATATCTGCAGGGGCCTCCGCTTCAGCCGGAACCGCCGTCAGGTGACGGGAATCCCGGTTCCAGACCCGACCCCAGCTCACGTCGGGCTGAAGGGGGCTCCTGGGGGCCGCGTCCACCGCGGGCGGCCAGGCACACGGCGATGACGCCCGTGACCACAGGGCTGCTGGACGAAGGGTCCCTGCGTAGGCCTGTCCCGTCGGGGGTGGGCCCTGCGCCTGATGCTCTCGGCGCCCCTTCCAGCGGCGAAGCCCGGGTCAGTTGCCGCGTCACCTGCTGCCCGCCGCTCCCTGAGCCTCACCCCGGCAGCAGGGTGGGGCGGTTCTCCCTTCCGTCCCCAGGGCGCTCTGACAGGAAGGCCATTTGTCCCGGTAAAAATGTAGAACCGGCTCTGGCTGGTGTGGTTCAGTGGACTGAGTGCCGGCCTGCGAACCAAAGGGTCGCCAGTTCGACCCCTGTGAGGCGCCGCCCGCTCCGCTGCAGCCCAGCGTCCCCGGGGCAGGAGGGCCACCTGGCGGGGCCGCCAACCACAGACCCCCGAGACAGCAAGCCTGTGTGGGGGTGCGGGAGACCCGGGGCTGGGGGGAGGGGGACGATGACAAGTGACGGTGAGACGGAGCAGGGCCAGCGAGAGACCCTGCGACCAGCCAGGACCTGCGGGGCCCCCCGGTGGCTGGGCCCCAGCCCCCAGGACAGGGACCCGAGTTCAGTGCCTCCAGGGGACACAGGAGACCCCCAGCGCAGCCGCCAGAGGCGTCCCAGGCACCCTCACTCAGGCCCGGGCCCCCGGGAGAGAGGCCTGCGTGCGGCCCCCCGAGGGCCGACCGGGGCGGGGGGGCAGCTCGGTGAACTTCCCGTTTCTCAGCCTCCGCCGGCGGGGAGCCGGCCTGGGGAATTTCTTCGTGTTCTGGGCCGGGAGAGAGAAAGGGGAAGCAGCCACCTCTGCACCCAGGTGCCCGGGCGCCCCCTGCACACACGGCGGCGGGGGGGGGGGGGTCCGGTCTGGACCTTTGGTCTCCGAGCCACGCCTGGTCGTCGTGGGCGTGACCCTCCCGCTGGCCGGTCCGTGACGCACGAGGCCGGCGGAGCACACACGCTCGCCCCACGGGGCAGGTCTGCAAAGGTCAGGTTCCCTGTGGAGCCCGTGGGATGCGGCCCCCCGCCCCGAGGAGGCCTCCGCGCCCCCACCCCACGCCTCGTCTGGGACCCCCGGCCAGGCCCACTTCTCGTGGCCAAACAGGCTCAGTCTCAGAGTCACCGAAACTATAGGACCCTTTTTCCCCCTTTTCCATTAAACCTGCGATGCCGAAACCCCACATTTCAAACTCAAGAACTATTTTTTAAATGCCCCCATTACGTGCTGGTAGAAGGGGAAGAGGCAGAAAAGCCCTGACCCTGGGGCGTGGGCTCGACCAACCGCGGGCGGTGAGGCCGGGCGCCCCCCGCCCCCCGGCGGCTGAGCCGGTGACGTCCTGGCTCTGAGTCACCGGGGGTGTGACGGTCCCCGGCGTGACACCACGGGTGGGCTCGGGTGCCCTGGCCGGCCACAGCCCACGTCACCGGCAGGGGAGGGGTGCAGAGCCACTCGCTGCCGTGGGCCGAGTCGCGTCCCCAGGAGAGACACGTGGAGGTCGGTCCCGGCCGGGCACCGGTCGAGAACGGGACCTCACGTGGAAACGGGGTCTCCACGGATGTGACCGAGGGAACACGAGGTCGCGACCCTGCAGCACGGGCATCCGCAGGGAAGGGGGGGCCTGAGCGCAGACACCCCCTGAGACGGAGGCAGCGGGAGAGAGGCGGCCCGTGACCACCCCCACCCCCGCCAGCAGGCCCGGGAGGGAGCAGCCCGCCCACCCTGGTTTCGGCTTCCGGCTCCCAGAAGGGTGACGAGCCGCATTCCGTGCGGTGCTTTTCACACGTCGACTTCAGAAAAACTGTAACGTGTCCTAGAACGCTCATGGGCTCAGCGAGGCAGAAACGCCACTTCCGGGAGTTCCAGACCTGAGCCCTCCCGTGAGCAGAGATGCTCGCGCCACACCTGCGCCGCTGCCCGCGCGAGAGAAGAGTCTGAACGGGGAGCGAAAGGCAGCGCCACTGAGCGGCTCGGGGTCTCCCCTGGTCCCCCCGGCACTTCGGGGAGACCCTCCCCAGCCACGGAGAAGCCGCGAGGGCGGCTCAGAGGGCCCCGGGGCCGGGGCCGCCGCTCGCTGCAGTCGGCAACCCGTGTCCACGCCAAGCAGCCCGCTGGAGCCAGGGACCGGTCCCTCGCCCTGAAAGGTGGCCGCCCTCGAGACAAGACGCCCCGGTCCCGGCTCGGGCGAGGAGCTGCGTGCGGCACGGGCTGGGCACCCGGCAGCCTCGGGCACCCGGTCTGGTTCACATGGAGCCACACGTCTGCTCCGGGCTCCAGCGGAGCCTTGGCCGCCGGCGTGACGTGTGTCCAACGCCCACCGTCACTTCCGCACGAGGACCGGGCAGGCGGGCAGGGAGTGGGGGCAGAGACCGCCGGAGCTGCGCCACGGCCTCCCGCGGGCAGATCCTGTCTCCACCGCTGGGCCGCTGCCTGCGCCCGTCCACCTCGACCGACAACACAGGCTCAGCGGCGACCGAGTCGTGTGGGGCCCCGGCACCCATGTCCCGCCGGGGGCCCGGGGCAGGGACACGGGGTGGACACGGGGTGGACACTGGAGACCACAGCGGGGCTGACCAGGCTGGAGGTGGGCGCCAGTGTGGGGTCGCCTGGACCCACGAGAACTCAGCCCAGAGGGCCCTCGGGGGCGGGGCCGGGTCTTCCTCTCGGGCAGAGGTCCAGGCTCAGGTCCCGCCTGGATGCCGGGGAGGGCCGGGGGCTGGAGGGCACCCTGTCCCCCCACTGGCCCGTCGTGTGACGTGGAGATGGAGCCGCTCCCCGGGAAAGCCCCCTCTGC